TTGACCAATCTGGAATTCCTTGTCGCAGAAACGGGTTTGTTTGTATGTTACCTGAAAATCTCAAACACTTGCAATCAGCAGTTTGTTTAAAAGGTAGAAGTAATTTGTTTATTCAAAAAATATAAAGTGTTTCATCCTTAATTTTAGGTAGATTTGGCGCCACTCCTAACAAAATATAACCTGTTTCGTACTCGAGAATGAACATTAAATGTTATTCTGTATTGTATTTTGAAGAAAAAAGTCCCCAACATTTTATAACAAACCCCGGAATTATATATTTTGTCATAAATACGTCCCCGCAACGGGTAGAAGCGTTAGAAGCAGCATATCATAATCCAGGTGCATAAAACATCGCCAGTCATAAACATCATTAAACAATAATAATAACTTTTTCGTTGATATAAATTCAACTTTTCCACATTCATTTGTAGATGCTGAATGTTACAACGACGAATTCAAATGTACAGACGGATCAGGGTGTGTACCACGTGAATCGTATTGCGATACCGATGATTTTCGCATCACCCGCCATTGCATGTCAGTTGAAAATACAATTTCCATATGAATATAGTTTACATACCTATAAACTTTACATAAAAATGTTTGTGTATAATCATAGAGCTGTTGATACATCTTCTCATTATATGAGTTCATAATTCACATAAATACCAAGCGCTATTGAATGTCTTGTGTCTAGGGACAACAGCGACAAAGACTTCCGGCGGTTCATGGACGAAAAAACTGGACATTTATGCCGATCCGTTTCACATGGTTTCTGCTATCTTCCCGAAAGTCAAGCCCATAAAGCCTCCTCTCTTTGCGAAGCAGGTGAAAACGATAAACATCAAGTATATAATATTTGACGGTTTGCCCGTGACAAAGACGGGTCTGTGAAACCCAAGCAGTCCAATTTCAAAACGAATTTTTTTTTTCAGACTGACTATAGTTTTATTCCATAAATTTTTTAATAAATAATCATTTATCATTAAAGTTTTTTGCCAATGTTAGATATCACATAATTCGATGCTACTTTGGTATGCGATATCATCGGATTTTTCAATTTTTTGTTAAACTATTTGTTCCAAGCATTATTCATATAACTTTAATAAACGAAAATATATAATTCAACAACTCTTAGGTGCATTTTTTTTTACTTTTCTTTGACATTATTTATAAAGCAAAAAATAGATAGATTAATTCAGCTCTAATTTAAAAACAGAGGTGGTAAATATACCACTTATGCTTTTCATATATATACATTATAATTTTCAATCTCCACTCCCAGTAAGATAAAACGAAGAACCAATCACAAAATTTCGAGTACGAAAAAAAAATGATGAATTGAATTTAAATGAAAAGCAAAAATGCAATATGCAGTATGGCTTTTTCGTGAATATTGTTCTCGGCCACTCTGTGAAGTTATTACTGCCATAGCTAAAATAAGTCCGTTATCTGATTTGTGTTTCAGATCCATTTTGTCGAAGTGATGAAATACTTTGCCATTATCCATATCTTTATTGCCAAAAGATTAACTTTTGCACTCAAGGAATTCTTTGTATGTGAGTGAATTACTAATTATAGAAATATGGTATAATTTTGTACAACCAATCATGTGGGTCTTAGACTCATCGTATTACGCAAGTATAGCAATGTATGTGTAGAATAATTCAGAGCAGAAAATTGATGCCTCACAATAGTCTATAATTAGCTTATCTTGCTCACATTTGTAAGGAAGCATGAGATCCCAATCGGGGTTTGCCACTTAGTATTCTATGAACAACCGTTTTACTCATAAACTTATATTTATTGTTGTATATTCAAAACCTTGTGTCGATACTTTTGCATCTTGGTCAACTGTCTAATAAATACGATTGTAAAATGATGCTTCCATATTCTACCCTCATTGCATCCGATTGTCTACAATCATTTTGTTCGACTCAAAGTAGACAAATTGTTCACTTGGGTAAATTCTTGTTGCTGTTGGGGTTGGTTGATTCTGTTGCGGTTGTTTTTATAAATCGTATTATCTCAACTAATGAACCTATCGATCTCAAATTTACACTTCTTCTATAACTTTCATTCAATTTCAAATTGCTTTCGAGATCTCTGGGATACGATATTTCAACTCTAATTCAACTGTTTGATTTATATTGAAGGTGTAACAGTTTTTATTCCGCCACGAATAACCGTCTCCAGATTGTTATACCAAGCGTGGTACCGGAAACAACGTACGACTCTAGAGTCCACATATTTGATCACTGCTTCCTTGTTTTAAGTAACAACGACCCATATCCTTCCGAGCCTAACTTCGATCGAAAACGACAAGAGGGAGATATGCTATGTTCTGGTATGGACGCTCTACGAATGAATCGAAAGTGTCCACTACCGGCGGAATTTATATGTGATTCGTTTCCACATTGTTCGGGAGGTAATTCATTATTTAAACTTGTTTTTGAAAAAACTGAGAAACTGTTGTGGTATAATCTCATGCTTTGGTATCAGAATTTTGTTTAACAGAGTTTTTCATTTATTTACGATTACCATACATTGGTTTTATTCAGAATGATTAAATCATTTACAATGTATTATTTTCAATTCGAGCATGTTTATTGGATGGTAGCATTTAGAACCTGGAATATGTTTGACTATTATACAAGCATTTCTTAAACTTGACTTAGTTCTTAGAAAATGGCAGTAGAAGCTTAAGGTGATTAGCAACTTATTTCATTATTTTAAAAGTATCAACAACCTCTATGTTGGGTATTTATCTTTCGTCCAACAAATGTTGTTGGCAGTATAATTTTAAAATTATCTAAATTTCTCACAAACTGATGTTTTAGAATATTTGCAAAACTATTCTTTGGCAAAATTAGGAAGCGTTTCCAAAATTCAAAATATATCAATAATTTTTTTTGGTTTTTTGTCCTTTTAAAAAGTTTGTAATGATACAATATTTCAGTATATGTTTCTATTTCCCCTTTATTTTCGTTATTACAGGAGTCGATGAATGCTTTTGCGATGGAAATGAACCCATACTAAATAGAAGTAAGTTCATTTGTAAATATAAGTAAAATAAAATACAAACAATCAGAACAGATATACACATATATTTTAATAAGTAAGGTCTTGTAGAACAAAAAATGAACGGAATGTTTTCTCAAATGGATTTGCTGGTATTTCATTTAGTTACTTTCATTTTTAAAATATAAAAAAGGATACAAAGAATAAAATATAAATATTATCTTGTCACATATCTCAACGATATTTTTAAAAAAACGATTTTCGTTAATAATATGTCGATTTTACCTATATTAATTCTTATTGTATTACAAAGTTGAATTGGAGAATTGGATAAAAAGTGGCACAGTCTCTTACTGTTTCTGAAACTTGAAGTATTTTGCTAAAATGAGGAACATGAAAAAAATGTTTAACTGTTTAACTGATTCAGAAGAGTGTAAAAGTTTCTAAAGAAAATTTCATTTAAACGTCTAACCTCATTTTCTAAATTTGTTGAATTTAATATGAATAAGTAATTTATAAACTGCCCACAAAGCAAATACTGTATATAATTATCACCAATTAAAAGGATTTTTCAAAATTAAGCAGCTAACAAAATAATATAATAACTCGCAGTCTTTCATGAAGAAGAGTGCTTTCGCTGTTTCCAATCTAAAGAAATAATTCCTTACGGAAAACTGTGTGACGGTATCATAGACTGTCCAGATTTATCAGACGAATGTTTATGCAAACGAAAAGGTGTCATAGACATCTGCAAACACGTTGTTTGGGGTGAGATTTATTTCTGCAATTACTTGATTTTTGGAAACAATTTATCCTAGAAAAAGACTAAAAATTTTGCTTCTGAATAAAGGGCAACAAGGTGAGACACCGTACTTCTCATGTAATGTCACGGAAGCAAACAACAATGAAACAGTTTGCGATAAAATGTAAGTTGCTTCAAAATAAATCTATTATTTTTATTTGAATTGATTTTGAGCCCAATCTACACCTAAAACGACCATATTCTATGGAATGTTTTATCAGGCTGTACGCTAACATTGCCCTTTTACCCATTCTAAAATATTTATTCGCATATTGACTTTGAATAAAATTTAACATAATTTTATTTCAGACCAAACTGCATGGGAGCAATTGACGAAAAGTTTTGCCCAGAGACGAGTTGTCCGGGTAACGCGAATTTTTATCAGATCTAGTAATATTTTTATGTAATATTTACCTCAAAAATACTGTTGAAAATATTTTATTTGTTTTCTATTATTTGGTATCTCATAGTTAATCAGATATTTTGCAATAGATTTGGATTTCTCACTCTTTCAAATATTTTACAATATTTTACAACACAGATGACTCGTGGGATCAGACAGCAGAAAAATGTAACGTCCGTTGTGGATTACCAACCGGTATGTTTTACAATTTCATAGAATATATAGCGGCTCAGTTCACGACCATAATTTTAACTCTATCAATAGTACTTTAGTTCAATATTTTTTGTTGTTTATGGGATTTAGCTTCTTAAAACAGTCTGTTCGATTCCAACGGAAAACACGTATTTTTGTTAAAACTGAACTATATCTTGCTGCTAAAAAATTCAGTTCATCATTAAAGTAACCCAGTTCTTAATTTGAGAATTATAGCAAATTTATCGGAAAGAAAATTGTTTATGTGATGATAAAAACAGTAGATAATGATAGATATTCTGGATAAAGAAAATTACACCTTTTGTTATTTACCAGGAAACATTGAAAATATTTGTGTAATTTACCATTGAAAAAATTTGAAATGTTTGTGAACTTTCTTTGCAAACAAACCTGCCAAACTTTCATTACTTCTGATGGTCATATATATTTCTCAACATTTTTGTTATTTGTACATACTGACTAAAATTCTATAATTAAAACCTTTCAGAACCAATTGCAACAAAGTGCGATGGAATTATAGAATGCAGAGAGTTTTACCGCGAGGAATGTCAAAATTGCCACATGCCCGAATTCTGCAAACACTATTTATTTGGAGGGTATTATCAATGTTCAAGCAAATCGAGAATTCCAGCCTGGAAGATATGTGACGGAATAGCTGATTGCGAAGGAGGAGAAGAAGAAATCAAATGTCCACGAAGGTAAGTATTTCTAAATTGCTTTCTGGCGTATGTCACAAACTTATATGTATTGAAGAATTAATAACTATTTCCGCATCGTATGGCGTTTCATGCGAGGACGACCAATCTCATCAATGTACTCGCGCCAACGTTTTGTTTTTCGATTCCCGTGTTCTGTTTATTGGACACGTTTAGTGGACATAACGATCGTTTCAAAATTTTGTTGTTATTGTTATTGTCTCCATCATTTATAAAAAATCGCTTTTCTCTTCGAATACTGGACCAATTGCTTTGAAATTTTCAGTGGATAAAGGAAAAATCTTTCTCCAGAAGGTATACTTTTTTCCCCGCTATGACGTCATCAAATATATTGCCATTGGGTGGCGCCACGTGTCCATATATTTGAGCATAGCTCTCATGTTAGTAACATCAAATAAAATTTGAAATAAAATAAAATATTGAGCGTTTGATTCACGTTATATTATGAAGTAAA